ACCTAACATAATACGGAGAGCGAGAGTTTTGATTAGATAATCTGTCTGACAAAAAGTTGCTGGAGGCGACAGCTACTCATTGGTTACATTAGGCTGCGCGTAAAGTCCTCAGCGCAAGTATGTATTCCAGCAATGACGAGTTACTTATCGTCCAGGGGCTAGGTGGGCCTGGGCCTGGGAGAAGCAGCTGCTCAAATTAAACTTTACGAAGAGGTGAATTTGCATGACGGCCACTGTGCTGCTGTACGAGACAGGGATAAAAATCTGAATGGCTTCCTATCAAAAACATGTTGTGAACTGGGAAAATCAGTAGAGTTTGCAAACCAGAGATATTTTTGGAAGCGAATACTTTCAACAAAAGGTATTCACCGTAAAAAATACAATGTTAAATTCAAAAAGGTATTACAAGATACATACAATGTAATTAAAATTTAAAATGCTCTTTGATATTTATTTCGAAAAAAGTTATATTTTATCTGTATTATTTATTCCTAACAAACGGTTTTGAAAGAAGCACACACCTGTCATCTGTTACGTTGAGTCTAAAATTGATAAAAGTTTTGCAATAGGCTGTCAAATTAAACGCATTTCAGCAAGTAGCCGTTTAGTGAAAACAGACGATACTGAAACTCCTGAAAGGTTGCGGCGTTAAAAGCAAATTTAAGTATGACTTTTACTCCTATGAATTGAATGAACGAGCACACGAACAATGCATCGATAGATGTCACATTATATTGCTACTAGCAATGGTCTAAATTATCTGACATAGTAGACAGCTCCGTGGGAATAGTTTATAATGTGGGCTGACCACGGAAGGACAGAGGAATATTAAAGCCTCAACTTGCCTCAACTATCAGAAGGGTACGTTCTATCGTGTCCTAATCTTAATAATAACACTAACGCGAACCTCAATGAAACCTTAGTCCTAGCCTCAACCTTAACTTTACCCTTAACTCTAACCCCTAACCTCAACACCAATTCTAACCCACGCACTACCGCCAACCATAATTTCATTGGAAGTTAGCGGAAATGTGCTTGCGTTTCGGGGCATTCCCATTCCACTATAAACCCGGTCTATTGATGACCTGGGGCAAATATGTTATTTAATGAAATATTAAAAATAATTTGAAATGTAAATATGATGATAAACGAAAAATTTAGTAATATTATTTATTTTGTGGCATCATCTCGAGTTATTTTAATCATTAAATTGTCAGCTTTCAATCGACTTCATTCTCACTGCCTGTGGAAACTACAGTTAGTAATATGAATGTTTTCCAATACTCTTCGATGCTGATATAAACGTATATATATGGTTTATTGAAGCCGCGCATGAACATATTTTGTTCTTACTTATTTGGTAGAAAAGTACGACTTTCGCAAAGTTTATTTCCGAAGAAAGAGTGTCTTTGGTTTGACAATATCCGAATTATCTGAGTTTTTAATACTGTCAAATGTTCATTCATAAACCATCGCGTCTTCACAAGCGATAAGGCTGCTTGCAAATTGTACAAGAAGGCCCACATTCGCTCTGAAACTGTATGGGTTCCATATGCCATCTTATTGATAGTTTATACAAATAGAGTATGAGGAGTGCGGCAAGCAACATTCCGCAGTTTGGAAAAGACCGGTAAGCAATCGCAAACCAACACTGAGTAGGGTTGCAATACTGTTAATCATGCAGTTCAGTTTTAATTATTTTCAGTCACGCTAAGATGTCGACTCTGTGGTGATCTTCTTTCTGACCGCTATGAAAAAGTTGATTCTGTAAAAAATGACTACTTGAATAGCATGCATTTTTATCATTGATTTTGACTGCCTTTATAAATCCATATATATTTTATAGAAAGCATGCGCGAAAAATCATCTTTTGTACTTATTTACTAGGAGATCACGCCTTCTTTAAATTTTATTCTTAAAGGAATGGTTTTCTTCGGTTTTAAAAAAATGTCTAATGTTAAGTTTTTTTGTGACTGTGCGGTGTTCATACATAATACATCGTATGCGTCAATTTGTTAATGCTGCCCCTGATATATACAGCATGATCAATTTTGTGAGAGCCATGCAACCACTTCCTCAAACCGTAGGCCAGAACGTACGTTTTCTTAAACAGGATGAAAGGAGCATTCAGTTTGTAAAACTTGAATTCAGGTCTAGCAGTCGGCAGGTCTCAAAATCATTCGGCAATTAAGGAAATTTTCTAAAACCGAAGGAAACCCTTTCTTTAAGAATGAAGTTTAAAGAAGGCGTAATATCCTATTAAATAAGTACAAGCGAGAATTTTTTCATGCATGCTTTCCATAAATATATTTGAATTTCTAAAGATGCATGCTATTTAAGTAGCCATTTTTTACAGAACCAACTTTTTCACATCAGTCAAAAAGAAGCTCATCACAGAGTCGGCATCCTAGCGTGACCTAAAATAATTTAAATTTGACTGCATGATAAACAGTTTTTCAATTCTAATCAATGTTGTTCTGCGATTGCTTACCGGTCTTTTTTAAATTGCGAAATGTTGCTTGCAGCACTCGCCGTACTGTATATGATTTCGCTTACATGGAGATTATACGGCGTGAAGATTAAAATTCTCGAAAGCAAGTGCATCGACAATTCGGGTTCCAAACTATTGGAGGATTAAGCATCTTTAAAGCCGAAAGACACTTTTTCTTCAAGTAACAAATTTTAACACGTACATTGTCACCACATAACTATAAGAAGAAAATACGCTCATGCATGCTTTCTCTAAAATATATATGAATTTATGTAGACATCAAGGATCGACATGGACCATCCATAGTAATTAAGTAGCCATCTTTTAAATAAGTTAGTTTTTGTAGGTAGACAAAAGCCGGCATCTCGTCATGACTAAAAGGTCTTTGGCTTATGCTAAACATTAATCAGTATCAAATCTAATTACTCTTTTCTATTTGAAAACTCATTTCCAAATTTGGCTATCATTTCATGAGACAGCACGTCTACTATAGTTTGTTAATTTGCATCTTCATAGCAAGTAAGCTAGATGAAAGGCCGAACAACCGAATAAGTGCATGCTAATTTCCACATGCCAAACCCTAAGTGGTGTTCGATCCTTACATTGACCTCGTCAAGACTGCAAGATGTGCCGAAGTTTTGGATAGGGTTTTACTATTGGCATCCTAATTAGCACCGTAAGCATCCGAAACGGCTACCTTAAGGAATAAAGCTGATGAAAGAGAGGAGTATTCATCAAAACTATAAAGCTAATGTATCAGGCCATACAGTCCATGTTAAAAAATGTAAGCATGCACTTGCACACCTTTGCAATATTCCCACAGTCAGTGGCCATCCTCATGAACTATTAACCAAAATGATGAAATGAATTTTCAAGCAGGAAAGCTTAATTAACTGGGACTGTAACGTTGATTATCATGCAATACAATCGCAATATATTGTACGGACACCAGGGGCTGACTTTTAAATATGGTTATTTCCTGTCACACTCAGAAACCGCAATCGATAAAAAACATGAATAATGAATAAGCACTCTTTTTCACGATTTATTTTTGATGCTCTAATAATTCGAAAGAAATGTACTGGAAAATTTACTAAAACATCCTTTATTTTATTCATTTTGTAGCAAATGACGTCTTCCTGAAAACTTATACTCGATATGAGAATATATTTAGGATTTAAGATGTTTTTTATAATACCATTAGATTTGGCTCTGTGTGGAAACTCCATAGGAGATATCCAACACAACCCGCATGCATTCTATCGATTTAGAAATACTGTGCGGTGCCTTCTTAGCACTACAGAAAAATGTAAGACTGTCTGTAGTGGCCTCTTGCAGCCACTTGGTTCCCAAGATCAGCCGCTGACGCATGGTGGCTTTAGTCTGCAAAGCCGCGTGAGCCCATCTCAAGGTCGCGCGCCCACGCTAGTCTAGACACTAGCCGCGTGATTGGCTGCTGTAACAAAGCATGCGCCAACGATTCTTGATGCTTGCGTCACTCGGAATTGACGCTCTGGCAGCCGGAGTGTAGTCTTGCGAGAGTCAAAACTATTTTCATCTATTCTCCTATCCTTCTGCAGAATATACTGTTCCTAACAATCTGGCTTTCCCATCGTCTTCCCTCCTCACCTAAAGGATCCATGGGCCTGGAAGATCGTAACTGTTAGGGTTAAGCCTTCTTAGCCTTAACGCCTATCGATATATCCTAACTTGGACGGTATAAATGTCATTAATGCAAGTGTTAAAGACCGATAAGGTTTTAACTGTTTCGAGATTTAAAAAAACTTCATCTAACTTTAAATATACCTATTCCTCAAGTAATACATTAGGAGAAAGCGCGATTTTCTAACAAAGTTTGAGTTTTTTGTCCCACACGAGAATTTTGAATCAATAGGAAATTAAGAATAGATGGGGGAATAATGAAATTTAGGTAGTAATGCGGGCGGTCGAAAATACGTAAAGCTAAAAGTTATTATCCTGGTATGACCAAACAAACCTGCGATTATGCTTTACGAAACTGAAATTTACAGTCCACTTAGGTAGTCCATCCAAATGGAAAACAAATAGCAGCGTTTCGGTTAACATGAAATCTCCGAAGGATCTCTCGATAATTCTCTGTCTCTTTTACTAAAAGACAGGCATGGACACCCAGAAAACTTAGAAAATCAACGGACTTCCCGTTGCACGTAGAACAACGCAAAAACATCAATATTTTTGCTAAAACTTCGCCCCACATGATAGGGTATGCATGAGACAGTGGAAGATGTATTATCTTCTTACCAGTATTTGCTGGTCATCGGACTCCTTCAAATTTAACAATTTATGGAATAAATAGCCAACATTCATAGAGCTCCTAAGGTTTTGCTTATTTTAATTTAGCCGATAGAACTGCGTGAGGGCATGCAGGAGAAGAATAGCGTCGCAAGTGAAACGTTTGTTAGATAAGAGTAACATTTGAAATATTACGTAGCACAGACATTCGGGTAGTATAGCGAATCCTACAGACACTCTAACAGCACTCACGAACCAGAATAATATGCGGTAAACTAGCCATGCCAGCTACTGGAGTTAACTTTGAGATCTTGGGACAACTCCTGTTGGTTTCTGGTCTGTCACAGTGCCGTTCACGGCTTTGACAATTTAAAGTGCATACTCGAACGGTAATCGGACCTGCATTGACTTAAAAAGGAGGTACATGTTATGCATTCTATGCACTTAGTCATAATCAGGGATAAAAAATGACTCCTAACACCCAGTGCAGATAGATTTAGTGACCAGGGAAAGGCAGACTCACGGTTATTGTTTAAGCCGTTTCCAATAGTCTTGCTTGGGGAGGTCTTGTCGGTCGAGACGATTGAATCAGGCGTGCTCGCTTTCAGGGGAGCACCAGCGTCAGTGGGGGAGGCAGACTTGGAAGCCTCACCAACTGTCTCTGAAATTATGGGGCGCTGGGAAGATTCCGAATCCCCTGTCCTCGAACTGATGGACTTATCGTCTTCAGACAGGGCGTTCAGTAGCGTTGTGGCCCATTCAGAGGAGGGTAGGTACTCATAGGGTTCCTCCATTTGGCAGACCTGTGGTGTAGTCTGCGCCACCTGACGACTGAGATCAGGCCCACTGCCATCACTCAGCGACGG